TTTGCAGCTCCAGGGGTCTCCTGCATGCTGAGCAAATGCTCTATCACTGAGCTACGTGCCAGTCTTCAACATGTCGTTGAGACTTTTACACTTTTTTTTATGTGGTGTACACTCAAATCCCACCACTCTGGTTTCTGATGTGAAGCCATGGTTGCTATGGGCACGATACTGTTTTTGAAAAGTGTTTTTGAAAAGAGCAGTGTTGGAGGGCATGGTTTAGCTGTGGCGTCAGCACCTTTCTAAAGAGTTGGTTTATTCAAGGTTTACTGTTCACCTTAGCCCTGTTTGCATGTCATATTTCCCCCGGGGACTGGGCTGTTTTTCCCGGTTTTCAGACAGATTGCTGCAATGTGTTTGTGACATTCTTACAGGCAATCAAGTCTGGGCCATCTCTGCAGTTACAGACCTCTTCCGGCTTCCTATTATCTCTATCTGTCCCCTCTGGCCACTGAACTTTCCATCAGCTGGCAGTTGGCGCCACTCACCTGCCTCCCAGACCAGGTTTTGGCCTTTGTGACCCTTCCCATACAAGTCCCTACTTATTAACTTCTGTTTATCATGGTCTCCTCGCTTCTCTGTTTCTCATTTAGTTTTTGGCTGTCCTGTCGATTTCTCAAGCCCTACGTGTAACTCGTGCACCAAACCGACGTGGAGGCTGTGTTCTCTTTCCTACTGTAAGCAAAGGGCCCCATCCTTTGCCCTGGTGTCCCTCCCGTTCCTCAGCACTGTAATCCATTATCCTTCAACCCCGAGTGCTTCCTGCTGCCCTTTAAGACTTCATCTTGGGTTCAGAGCTCTTCAGTTCCTTTCCAAGACGTACTGAAAAAGAGTCCCCTTCTTGTTGGGCTGGGGCGTCTCTGTTCTGCCGCTGTTGGAGTGTGCTTTGGGGTCCTAGGCTGAGGTCAGCCTTTGTGTGTTTCATGTGCAGCCCTGGCTGGTAGGAACAGCTCAATAGCCTCTTGATTCCAATCTCACACACCTTCTCCCAACCTGCTCTTTTGATCCTTAATCCACCATTACTGTGAGTGGTGTGCTCAGAACCAGGGCTTACTGGGGCTCCCAGTTCCCCGTTCATTTCTGAACCCAGCCAGCTCCTGGTATATGGGGCCTTTCTGGCCAGGGTAATGAACCATTCGTTCCGCCCTCTGCTTAGCCATTCTGTCCAGGCAGTTCTTGGCTACTCAGCTGCCTTTCAGAACAAGGAGATGAGATTGGTTCCTGGACCTATGGGGCCCAACGCTCTTTGTATTAGTTTTTCCAACTATGTATTTCTTTAAAAAAATGTAAAAAAAAGTGCCTGATCACACTGGGTATACTTAAATCTACACATATAGGAGAGGAATGTAAGGGGGTGTGGGGTGTATAGGAAGGGATGAAGATTTGTGGGCCAGGGTGTCTGTTGAAGTGTACCCACACATGTGAGAGGCTGTGGATATGTACATGTGTGGGTTTTGGACTATGTTGAAGTATGCGCACATTTGGTGTGGACAAAGATCTTGGCCTCCCTTCATCCAGATTCCTGTGCTCCTGCTCTCATCCTGTCCCTGAAGTTCTCATACAAAGGAAGGAACTTTGCTAAGCCAGGTCAGTAAGCCCTTATTCTGACACCCGAGCATCCCCAAGTGTTTTTAGGGTGTTCCCCATCTGTTGAGATCAAGTTATGCCATAAGTGACTCATATTGTTCAAAACTGTTTTTTTTTCCATTTTCTCCCCCCTCTGTGTAACAGAGCCCTAGCTGTCCTGGAACTCACTTTGTAGACCATGTTGGTCTTGAACTCAAAGAGATCTACCTGCTTCTGCCTCCAGAATGCTGGGATTAAAAGTGTGAGCCACCACACCCAGCTTCTTCTTTTTTTTTCAGGCTGTGAGTTGCCCTGAGAGACTCCATTTTATAAGTAGCTTTTGACTCCATTTTGAAGAGAGATGGTGACTGTGTGCCTAGGTGGACACAGGAATGATATCATCTGTCCAACATCGTACAGGAAGTACATATTAATAAATACCTTACTACTGGGAGTAGAAAGGGTGCTACCCTAAGATTTGAGCAGAGAGTTGAGACTATAGGAGCACATGGGCAGATTGAATTTATACTAGAGAACCAGACCCAAGAACCCACCAGACATACCAGACCAAGAAAAAGGTAGAAATCCCCACCCAGCCTTCAGAAGGAGGTAGAGCCCTAGTACAGGGATGGATGGTAACGCCCGCTCCTTGACCCAAACAGGATGTGTGTGTGTGTGTGTGTGTGTGTGTGTAGGGTGTGCGTGAGTGTGTGTAGGGTGTGTGAGTGTGTGTATGTGTAGGGTGTGTGTGCATGCGTGTGTGTAGGGTGTGTGTGTAGGGTGTATGTCTGTGTAGGGTATGTGTGTAGGGTGTGTATAGGGTGTATGTGTAGGGTGTGTGTGTAGGGTATGAGTGTAGGGTGTGTGTGTGTAGGAGGTGTGTATGTGTAGGGTGTGTGTGCATGCGTGTGTGTAGGGTGTGTGTGTAGGGTGTATGTCTGTGTAGGGTATGTGTGTAGGGTGTGTATAGGGTGTGTGTGTGTGTAGGGTGTGTGTGTAGGGTATGTGTGTAGGGGGTGTGTGCATGTGTGTGTAGGGTGTGTGTGTATGGTGTTGTGTGTAGGGGGTGTGTATGTGTAGAGTGTGTGTGTGTAGGGTGTGTGTGTAGGGTGTGTGTGTGTAGGATGTGTGTGTAGGGTGTGTGTATGTGTGTATAGGTGTGTATAGGGTGTGTGTGTATAGGGTGTGTGTGTAGGGTGTGTGTGTGTAGGGTGTGTGTGTAGGGTGTATGTTTGTAGGGTATATATATATATGTGTGTAGGGTGTGTGTGCAAGGTGTGTGTATGGTGTGTGTGTGTGTGTGTGTGTTCAGGGTGTGTGTGTAGGGTATTAGGGGGCATGTGGGTGTGGTGAGAAGAACTGACAGAGAACATCTAGCTGTCCCAGGGGTTCCTGCTTAGCTGGGTGCCCACTGTTGATGTGGTTTACTCAACTGCCATCCTCTGCTCCCTTGTCTGGCCCTGCCATTCATCTGTCGACCCACTGGTTCATCTGGACCCAGCCCTGCCCTTCACTTCACCTCACTCCTGCAGCTCTGCTCTGACCATACAGCAGGCCTGACTCCATGAAAACCACTGCAGTCTCTCCAGTCTCTGCTCTAGCTCCCTCCATTCTGCTCTTTATCTTATCAATAATAGAGACTCTTATGGCCCTATTAATTTCCCAGCTTTGGCTTCTCGGGGACTCTTTGAAACGTCCTGCCTCTTCAAACCTTTGTAGCCATTATGTAACATACATATATAGATAGAGCTATAGATAGATGTATTTACTGTGTGGTGTGTGATCTGAGAGTCAATATTGGTAATTAAGATTGGAATGAAAGAACCTGTGTTTGCCTCAGCCAGGCTATCAAAGAAAGCGGATTATCTGGCAAATGCTGCCGTTGAAACAGCCTTACCTTGTGAATATACCGCTGTTAATCAATACATTCTGACATTGTGGAAAGACACAAACATGTTTGTCTCTGTTTCTCACTTACCATATTGAAGATACCACCTGAGCAATGTCTAATCCCCTAGCAGCATCATGTGAGGTTTGCTTAGCCAAAGTCCTCTGCCCTGATGTCTCAATCACTGTCCACTCCTGCCCTTTGGACATTCCAGACTGACTGAGCCCATTTTTTTCCACTGTGAGGTGTGCTGCTGTCCCTGAAGCCGGCCTGGTGGCTCATAGAACCTTCCCCACTGGACTGCAGTCAGGGCCACTGAACAATTTTTTTCTTTAGTACTGTGTACATGCTGGGCACAGAGCGTCCAGCTACATCGTCATACAGTGTGCTTACAACCCTTTGGTAAATTAGTAAATTTAATAAATTTGCACAGTTGGTGCAAATGTGAGTGCATGTGTGTCCGTGCATGCGTGTGTGCGTGTGTTTCCCAAAGGAACCACAGCAATGTGTACTGGAGTGCACACACGTGGGGTCTCCACCACTCTCTGTCGGGGTGCACACAGAGAAGGAGTCTGTACCACTGTGTGTGTTGTGGTGCACACAGAGATGAAGTCTGTAGCACTGTGTGTGTTGGGGTGCACATAGAGATGGAGTCTGTAGCACTGTGTGTGTTGGGGTACACACAAGATGGAGTCTATATCACTGCGTGTGTTAGGGTGTGTGCACAGATGGGGCCCTCACTGCTCTCTCTTGGGGTACATGTGCTCTCTGAGGGAGTTTATGTTGCCCTCAGGGGGCTGGTAAAGGCTGACTACACTCCCTGTCTTTCATTCAGGCACTGGCTGCGGCTGCCCTGCCTCCCCAGTCTTCCCGGAGGTGTTTGTGCATAAGCCCCTTCCTCTATGAATACCTCGCTGTGCAGGGCTCCGCGTCTTGATCCAATTTCTGTGATTTATATTTTCCATAATTCTATTTGGTCAGGACTTTCAAATTTATTGCACAGTTGTGTTCTGTGTTCCCTGTAATATAGGAGAACGCTGTTTGCCGAGCTTGCTCCCTCGTGGGAAACGTGCTTTCCTGCATTCCTCTCCCCCCTTGATGTGCTAGCTGGAGCTCCCCCTCGCCTCCCCCCTTTCGGGGTGTCTGCAACGTCTCCAGGCAGCCAGCCTTCCTCCCTAGCCCTCCCAAGGCTGGGCTGTTTCTTCTTTAAACAGTGCTTTGGGCTGCCCAGGCAGCCTTCTAACATGGAGGGCCCTGGTGCTGGGGACAAAAGGGGTGCCCTAGAAGTAAAAAGCCTCTGATAGAAACAGCAAGTTCTGGAGGCACAGTAAAGCAAAGCACCGTGTGCAGTTGAGCCATGGTTGTTAGCAGCAGGAAGATACCCGGAGTCTTCCAGGGCCGTTCTGGGGTGTGCTCCCATAGTGCTCCTGTCCTGCAATACCACCTCCCACCCTCCTCAGGCCCCTTAGACATGACAGTATATACACAGTAGAGGGGAGTCTGATAACTTTATTCCCAGACCCCGGAAGGTGAGGGCATTGAGGCAGGATGGGCCCTGAGCTCCAGAAGAAGCCTGGGCGTGAGGGTTGGAGGGTGCAGAGCTGGCAGAAGTCAGGGTAGAAGGTCTCTGCTGCAGCGCACTGCTTGGCTCCTTTACTTCCAGCGTCCGCCGACTTTGCCCTTGGCTGTAGCACCAGCCTTCTTGCTGCTGCAAATGGGAAGCAAGTTGCGCTTAAGGGTCAGAGTGTCCAGCCAGCCAGTGGAGACCTTTGGCTCCTGTCTCCCCAAGCTGTCGCCCCCACCTCCACTGCACACACCTCGTTCCAACCTGAGCAGTAGGAACTGACTCACCTGCAGAGGGCCTGACAGGGCCTGGACACTAGTGTGGTTAGGACAGGGTTAGCTGGTTACCTGGGCTCACCTTCTCTTCTCCTGCCTTGGCCAGGGGGAATACTGCAGACAGACCCATGCCACCCTAGCTTCAGACATTATTGATTTTGAAAGGCCTGTGCCTTTCTGATGGCAGCTAAGGGTACCTGTTCCAAAGGACTTGGGACCCTATTAGCTGAGGCCATTTGCACCCCAGCAAGTTGGAAGCAGGATGAGCACTGTGTGAAGGTCTAGGCTGACCAGAGGCTAAAAGTGTGTGAGCTCTGAAGTCAACCCAGTGCGACCGTGGGCTGGCAATGCTGTGTCCTCACAGACCTTCCTGAGCATCCTAGCATGTGTGCACACACATTCACATGCCCATGGCATCTCGTCAAATTAGCCTGCCACGACCCTCCAGCCCAGAGATGCAAGCCAACAGCCTCTTCCTTGGAGGAGCAGCCATCTTTCCCTGAGCATCATGAATGTGTGGAAGGAAGGAAAAAAATTCCCAAGAAACAGGAAATCTAAGAAGCCCCCCCCCCCCCCCGGCTTGATTCTGTCCTTGAAGTGTAACAACCTCAAGTCCAGGCTAAGAATTATCAAACTCAGAACCTGGTGAGGGGTCACTATAGCAACAGGCCCTGGAGTCCTGTGGGACCTGATGTCTTGAATGGAGGGGTTACCCTCCTGTGGAGTCAGTTTCTCTCTCTCTCTCTCTCTCTCTCTCTCTCTCTCTCTCTCTCCATCTTAAATATCCCAAGTTAGCCTTAGAACTTACTCTTCAACTCTTGATCCTCCTGCCTCTACATCCTTCCCACGGTGCTGGGATTTATGGATGTGCTCCAGCTTAGGTACTGGGGTCTAACTAAGAGCCTTGCACATGCTGGGCAAGCACTCTATCAACTGAACTATACCTCTACTCCCCACTCCTTTCTTTTGGTTGTTGTTAGCTGAGATAGGGTTTTATGTAGCCCAGGCTGGTCTTGAATGCCTGATCCTGCTCCCAACTCTGGAGAGGTATTGGGATTGTAGGTTTTCATTACCACATCCTGTTACAGGCTTCCTGCTGGCCAGCACATCATAGAGTTGGAAGGTATCACTAACAAACCCCATCTGGCACCTCCTGCATGCAGAAGAAGAAGGAACCATTGGGTCCCAGGGCCCTGTTAGTCTTGTTATTGCTCTGCTAAGGGCCAGCCACCAAGAGCCCTTGATCAAGGACCAGCTGCTAAAATGTCTAGGCCCTAGGTAGGGTTGCAGGTGGCTGGTCCTGGGGACTCTGGGTCCAGCACAGAGCAAGAACGGGCTAGGTTACTTACTGCTTCTGGGCTTGGTCAATGCGGCTCCTGAGAGTAGTGATCTGTAACAACACAGGTGACTTACTGTGACAGAGACCTGGGAAGCCCAGCAGGGCACTGGCCAGGGTACACAAGTCTTTACCACGGGACTGGCCAGCCGTGGCCTCTCCACTGTATCCTCATGGCAGGGACAGTCTCCTGTGCCATTTTCCTTACTGTCTCATGGTTTCTTTGTGAGAAGACACTGTTGCTTTGTCCTCAGGCTGCGTCTTGACTTGCTCTCTCTAGCTACCACACACAGCAGCTCTTGACTGGCCACTTACCTTGTGGCTTTGGCAGGATGCAGGTAGGGCAAGGGACAGGGTGGAGTTGAGGCCTCCAGACCTCCCAAAGTTCCACCTCTGACTCCTGATCCCCACCTTCCTGCTCCTTGACCCACGATGCCTGCTCCTGACTTGGTGGCCTAGAGGCCCTGGCCCCAAATGGAGCACTGGGAAGGCAAGATCCTTCGTTTCTCATCTGCCAACAAGGGCGTCAGGCCGGCCTCGTAGCCACCAGATGAGGTCAGGAGAGAGGAGCTGTGGCAGAGGGAAAAGGCCCTTTGCCACCAGTGTCCTCAACACCCCAGATCTTTGCCATGCGAGAGGCTAGCTGAGCATTGCACACCCACAAGCCTGGCTCTGCCTACTCACAACTTGGCCAGCATCTCCACTCTGGCCCGAACAGTCATGATCTAGAAAAATCAAGATGGTTACCAGGTTGGGTGGGCAGTTGAGGATTCAAGGCCCTGATAAAAGTGGAGCCAGTCTTTTAATGGACAACCAGGCTCTGCAAACCTAGGAGACCAGACATGGGCAGAGTATATCTGGAGGCTATGGGTTCCTGACTTAGTATTGTTGCTGAGAAGAGTGGTCTGGTCTCTGCTTGGGGGAGTCTTCTCTGAGCTAGCTCCTGGGGTGGCCTTGAGGCTGAGGGATGAGTATCTTTCTAGAAATGGCCAATAATTAAGGTTTGGAGACCAAGGCTCTTCAAAGTTGAACATCTAAGACCCAGAGGTTGCAAGGAGCCAGAGCTTGTGGATTGTCTATTTTGATGGTTGTGGGAGATGCCCCTGCATGAGTTCTCGCCTCTCTCTTTACCTGGCACTGGGTGGACAAGTGGGGAAGACAGTACAGCTATGCCAGTGAGACTAATGTGCTTGCATTTGCAGTAAAGCACAGTGGACACCAGGACTGGGGCCTCATCCATGGTGAGCAGGACCATGCTTGGCTTCTAACTCATCCCCCAAGGCCCTGCCCTGTCTCTCCCCTTACCTCTCCCTCACACCATTCCAGATTCTCAGACCCCCAGAGGAGACACAGCATTAAACTCCCTTTTCCAGTTTTAGGTGAAGGTGTGCGTCACCCTGCCTGCCTGCTTGCCTGCCCTGAAGATGTTATGGGAACCTCAGCGGTTTGAGAACGCATACTAGTTCTAGCTACACCGTTGGCCAATTCAGATGTAGGTCAGGCTGATCGCTCAAGTGCCTCCCCTGAAGGACAGGCTCTAGAGGTGGATCCCCGCTGGGCAGTGGAGCCAGGTCTCAAGGTGAAGGCAGACCAGAGTATAACTGGGTTATGGGGAGACAGCTGATCCCCGAAGAGAGTGAGACCTTGTAGGCCCAAGAAGCAGAGATGGCTAGACTCACATCATATTTCTGGCGTTTTAGCTTCTCCCCAAACTCATATTTGTCAGTCTCCAGTTGGTACAGGGTATCCCAGAGTTCCTTGGCCTTGTCCCTGGAAGATGGAAAAGAGGAGGTTTGACAGGATGATGTCAGAGAGGCAGGGCCTAAGACCCTACTTTCTCCTCCAGCCACCACAGAGAATTGTGACTTGATTCTTCTGGGGAAGGGCCCAGTGCCATCTGGGAGGGCCACCCTACCTCAGCTTGTCATCACTGAGATGGTCGATGTTCAGAGGCTTGCGTCTCTCTGCAAGAATCTTCTTCTTCATCTCCCTGGCTGTCTGCTTCTTGCCTCTCTTCTGGTCAGCCTGGGGAGGGGAGAGGTGGTGAGAAGCCCAGTCTCAGGAGGTACCTGACCCAAACACCAGCCCCACTTGAAGGCCACCTTCAGGGCTCTGAGCATGTTCCTTACCTTGGCCAGATAGCTGCTGTAGTTGGCACCCATGGAGGACAGAGCCTTTTTCTTCTTCATGTCATCCTCGGCTCTCCTCTTGGCATCTTCCTCCTCTCTTCTGGCCTTCTCCTCCTGTGGAGACCCCATCCCCAAGATCTTCAAGGGATGCCCTTTGAGCAGGCTTCAAAGACTAGTTTTGGACTTAGCAACTTCTAGAAGGAGGTTGCTCTTCGGCAGGGGAGGGGGGGGGCTCTGTAGAGCAGGAGGCATTAACCCTCCTGGTTAATTGGCTCTGGTTGTTGGCCCAACAGAGGGCCACAGTGAGAGGAAGGCCTAAGATCATCTGCTTCCCTGGCTACACAGGCTGGAGGCAGCAGGATGACATAGTCCTTACCGCCAGTCTGTTCTGGCGTTCCCGCTCCTTCTCAGCGCGGATCCTCTGCTGCTCAGCCCTCTCTGCACGACGCTTCTCCTGAAGCCAAGAGGGCAAAATGGTCAGCCCTGCCCTGCCAGGCCCAGTCACTGCAGAAGCACCCTGCACCCTCCCAGGGCTGCGGACTCACAATTCTCTCCTTGAGTGCAATCAGCTCTTCTTCCTCTTTCTTTCTAGCTTCAAAGTGGCTGTCGATGAGGGCCTGGAGCTCCATGAGGTCCTTGTTCTGACGCTTTTTCTGGATATCCTGCGGGGGAGGGTGGCGAGAGAAAAGTTTCTACCCTTCCTGGCCAGCCTGAGACCCATCTGCAGCTAAGGAAGCTTTCTACCAAGTCTTTACATCTGCAGTCTTCCTGAGACCCAGAGTGACCCAGTCTGGACAGCCCAGGGTTGAGATAACGCCCTTCCTGTGGAGAAATCCAGGTCCTGACTACTCATGAAGCCAGTACCATCCTTGAGGTGACCTGTCTCAGACTTGACTCTTTCATCCTCAGAGATGTCCTCTTGGGTCAAACACAGAGGAGATTGTGAGACTGACTTGCTGCATACATGGATGGGTGTTTGAACAGATAAACGGATAGATGAAGGTGTGGATGAAAAGAGAGACAGTTGAGGGAAAGGCTAGGTGGATGAGTGGACGGATGGGCGGGTACAAAAATGCATGGAGGAGAAGGGAAGGCATCTCTGTTTCCTTGGGTCTGTGAGCGAATTATGGACGTGTGGATAGGCTACCTTGCTTCTGGCTACTTGGGAAGACATGACCTGAAGCCTAGCTTAAAGTTCAAAGACTGGAGCTTGGGATGAGGGTGTTCTGGGCCCCATACACTTACATCGAAGTCTACTTTCTCCCCTTCTGGGATCTTAGGAGCAGTGAGTCTGGGGAAGAGACACAGAAGTTGTTTCATAAGCACGGACAACTGGAACCTTCCCACAGCAGAGGCCAGCCAGCCTCGAATCTAGGCTGGCCTCCTCTTCTTTCTTGCACCCTGGCACCCAACAGAGCATGTCTCTGCTAGAGCAGGTTTGCCTGGCTCTTTGTTCTTGGGTTTCTAACCCGTGTTCCAGGAGTAGTTTGTCCCTTCCTAGAAGGCGTCACCCTGTTTTTGTCACCTCTGTTTCGTTCACTGCTTCATGCTGCCTTTCTCAGGCACATAAACAAATGTAATTAAGCCCTGGCAGAAGGCAGGGTGGCCACTATGAGCCCTCCCGGGGCAGTGACTGGCATCAGCTTCTGGGGTGAGACCTGTCCTGTGGCTCTGGACACTCTTTTAATCTTTCTTTCTGGGCGCCCAAATGAAGGAGCGCCTGTAAGGGGAAAAGGAACCCCCAGCCCGCTGGCTGTGCGACCCCCTCCTCCTGCCAACACATTCCAGATGGAGCAGGGAGCCCAGACAACCACGGCTTTTAGAAGCAGGCCACAGAAGAAAGAGGAGCTGAATAGCGATCAAAACCTGGAGAGGGAAGGGATTTTTCTAAGCTCTGAAGCCCCAAAGTTCCCTCCAAGGGAAAGCTGTACAGATGATGTTGTGCAAATGAAAAACTTATGTATGTGGAGGGGGGGGGGGAGAAAGAGAGCAAAAATCGAAACGCAGAGGGGGAAAAACCAGACTGAAAAAAAAAAACAACTTTTCAGCAAATACAGAGAAGATTTATATCCCTGAGTGAACGGACGATTAAGCAAACATGGAGACGTGTCGCCCATGAGAAAAACGAGCAAGGGGCACAAGCCACTGACTGACTCGCAAGAAAGACGACCAGTTGACAAACATGGACAGCTCGTGGTGGTGCCATCGGAGGAATGTAAGGCAACCATAAGATGTGGTTGGCCGTTCATCAACGGGTGAGGGGCAGACACTCGTTCTTTGGGCGCGGAGGGTGTGGGACACAAGACTGCTCACAGCCCACTTAGAAGACCGCCTTGGCTGGGCCCTGGTGGAAAGCAACTTGGCAGTGAATGTCAAAGTCTTCAGATCATTGGTCTTCTTTGACCCAGTAATTCCAGTTCTGGGAATGTGGCCTAGGCAAACAGCCCTCAAGATGGAAAATGCTTTCCAACCAGCGTTATTTATGATTGTAAAATATTGGGGGAAGCCTGTGATCAGGGAATGGTTAGGAAAATTATGGTTTGTCCAATTGATGGAATATTATGTGGCCATTCAAAATATTTAAGAAGACTATGTAAAAACATGGAAAAATACTTATGAATAGTGCTAAATTTTTTTAAAAAACAGAATTCAAGACTGTATAGACAGTCCCGTGCTTAAAAAAACATAGTCAGAATCTTTATTTTCCAAGAACTTCGTGTAGAAAAAGAGCAGGAAGAAATAAAGACCTTTTTCCCCCTCTCTGGTGCCTTCCACAGTCTGGCTGGTGGGTGGGTGGGAGAATTATGGATGGATATTTTCCCTTCTTCATTTGACTTTTATGTATTTTCCAAATTTTCTTAATGAGGTGTTTTATTTTCATATTGAGAACATAAATAATTTTTCTAAGATGAGAAACTATCTCACAGTTCTGCATTACTTTATGTGAAGTTGATTTAAAACAGCATTCAAGGGAGGAGTGTGGGCCAGCCACACTCTTCACTCAGCTTCTACTCTTCTCTCAAGGATGGGGAGGGAACAAGGGGCAGGAGCCAAAAGTTCAACCTGCTGTAGTGTGGAACAGACAGAGAGGCTTAAAGGGACAAAACGGTGCTGTATATGGAGGGTTGTGGACTTCCAAGGTTTACAACCCCCTGGTGCACTCCCAAGTGAGCAAGCAAGGCCAGGGTAAAAACCTCTGCAGAGTGGCTCACAGGGGGCTCAGCCCCCTTTAGGATCAGGTCAATCCAGAGAGGGTTTTCACCTCAAGCAGGAAATCCTCACCCCTCAAGTCCATTTTTTTTAAATATCTGGAGACCTGAATAATCTCCCAGCATAGCCAGGCATGGAAGATTCGTGACCCCTTCAGTCCCACTTCTGAGCCTTAGTCCATGTCCAGTGGCCTCCTTGACTGCACTGGCTGATGGGGAAGAGCAGCCTAATGCCTTTTTATTCCTTCCTACTCTCAACTTTAGTCTCTATTATCTTCTGCCATTTGGACTTTTCTTTTAAAACAGTTCCAGGCCCTGCCCTGTTCTTGCACCCCCATAGCACTGCCTGAATCCCCTACTTACTTGGGTCTTGGTTTCTCCTCTAGTCATGACAGCCAGCATGGGGAGAGAAAGAAAGAAATCAGGTAAGATAGGATGGTCTTTCCTGCCACAAGAACCACCAGGCTGGGGACTTCTACTCAGCCCACCCAGACCCCTCAACTATTCAGAAGCAGGAAGCCTGTGAAATTCTCCATGGGCTCTAAGAAGGACTTAGGGTGTGGGGATGAAGGGAGAAACCCACAGGAAGGCATATGTGTCCCCAGAGGACTGGGAGGGTGGGAGAGGTAGGAAGACAAGAGGCCTAGAGGACAGACTTCTGGAAAATCTGGGAAGCATCTGGGATGCTGGTTTATCTCCACTGACCAACTAACTGCTTCTGAGTGGGCAGATGCTTGGCCCTGGCCCTCTGACTCTGTGGCGGATGTACATAAAGCCTCAGCATCTTGAGGTTCCATGCCAGGGAAAAAAGGAAGACAGACAGACATGTGGACAGATGGGGTGAAAGGGCTGGAGAGTGAGCAATATAGACACTGGACCAATGGCTCCTCTCGCCTCACACAGGCAGAACCAGAGTCCTGTGCAGGTGGAGCAAGGGGCTGCAACAGCGGCTGGCAGGCCTTACCTTCCTCGTCCTCCTCCTGCTCCTCCTCGGCGACAGCATCTTCATGGCGTGGGCGCAAGCGCACATGCAAGAAAAAAGCCGCGCAACTGCAGAAGTGCAGAGGCCACACAGCAGCAGTGGCCACATGAACAGCGGAGGCAGGCACGCACAGGTCCCCGTGCCTGCGGGTGGCAGGGAAGCTCCTACACCTTCCCCAAGGCTTAGTCCCCTCTGTGGATCCTTGCTTTCCAGGTTGGCCTCTAACTCTCAATATAGCTAAGGATGACTTTGGACTCTTCCTCCTCCTGCCTCTACCTCCCAAGTGCTGTGATGACTGGTTCTGCCACACCTTGTTTATGCAGTCCTGGGATTTGAACTCAGGGCTTTGTGCATGCTGGGCAAGGAGGCTGGGCTATGAGTAGAGAGTGCGGGGACCTGTCTTGCCCAATATGCACATGGTGATGGGATCTAGGTTTGGCCCTGGTAAATCCTGAGGCTGCTCTCCCTTCCAGCTGTCACGGAACCTGCCATTACTTTCCACCACGTATATACTTCTACTTAGGCACATACTATGGTTTTGACAGTCGCTTTATTTCAAACCCTTCGTAAAAGTCTTTGTTCATAGAGCCTGCCTGAGAATCAAGAAAATATTTTTGGCTCATTTATATCTGTGAGTTTTGACAGGTTCAGCCCTTAGGATAGTGCTTCCTGATCCTGGGAACCTGCTCTCTGACCCCTGAGAGGCTTTTTCCCATGAGTCTCGGTGGGGCCTCTCTTCTTCAGAACCTCGTCTAAGCTGGCTGTCCTGAGGAAGGGCTGCTTCCTGAGTGTGCCCCATTCCTGCAGAGGTTGGGACTGGTGTTGACCCTGGTCAGGGCCTGCAGCTGCTCAGCCTCGCCCTTCCGTGCATGGTCCTGTAGCCCCTGTTCTAGTGTTAGGCAGACGCAAATCCACTGCCATGTGTGCACTCTGTCTGCCCGGAACACAGTGAGACCTGGCAGGGGAAGCATCTGGGACTCCCAGCAACTCTGCACTTGGCCAGTAGCCAGCAGGCCCCATCTAAGGTTTGGGTGGGGGTCTTGCCTGCAGGTTCTGACCAGTGCTCCTCTGGAACACCTATTTCTCACCTCTCCAAAAGACACGGGGTGACTTAACAACCAAAGCATGTAGCAGCGCTGCCTGAATAGTAGCTTAAATCTGCCCATAAGCCTGATGCCACTCTTGCTTAACCCGACCCCGGGAGCAGTGGGGTGCTGCAGAGCTCTCTTGCATGAGGTCTAGAGGAGTAGCCTGGGGAAGGAAGTTAAGGGGTTGGTGGACTCACCCTCCCCTTGTGATATTCTGGGGACCAGGAAGGATGGGGTGCTCCCTAGAATTAATTGCATGAGAGGCAGCTGCATAGTGGCAAGGTAAGGTTTCCCTGTGCTCTTTCTCCCTACCCTCCTGCCTGTCTATTTGTCCCAGTCAGTCTCAGTTCTGGCCCCAGGGAGGCCTGGTGACCTAAGATGCCTGAGAACATCCTGAATCCTGCTCCTAGCATTATCCAGGTACTTCCTGTCAGGCCCAGCCACCAGAAGCCTGCAAGTATGAAATGGAGGGGCTGAAATGGGCCTCTGGAGTTCAGCCCCTCCTCCCTTCCCCAGTGTAACCAGCCTTGCTGCTAGGCTGACAGTTGCCCCCCCTCCCCCGACAACCCCTGTCAGTTCTGCTTGATGGGTGTGTCTGGCTCAGGCCCAGGCACTGGGTGGGATGCTGGGATCTGACTGATTGCCTGTTTGCATGCATGGCCCCCGGCTGTTCCAGGTCTCTGACATCCCCACCTTGGGCCTCAGCCTGACTTTCCGCTTCACCCCACTTGCCCCTCCACCCTCCCTTCAGCCTCACCCCTCCTTTCTTTCCTCCCTCTGGCTTGATATCTGGGGTAGGTTGGAGGCTGCCTATTCAACGTTTTTGTGTTGCTCTACCTATCCTGATGAGGCCCCCAAGAGTCCCAGGGGATCTCCAGCGCCATTTTTCTAAAGCTGGCTCTGTAGACCCAGGATAGCCCATACGCTCCACCTAATCTTCCTGATGGAGGGCTAAGAAAAGCCTTTTTGCTCCTTGCCCTTAAACACTGTGATCGGGACTGCCACTGTCAGCCACCTAGGCCAGCAGATCGGGTTAGCTTCCCTAGTCTGCTCTGTCCTCAGCCTTGAGGCCAGCAGGGCTTAGTTGTTGTTGGTGGGTACATTGGAAAGGGGGTGGGAGGCAGGCAGTTGGAGAGGGAAGGGAAGGAGGGGAAGGCTCTTCATGGCTGTGAGGCAGATCTGGACCTACCTTCTTGGACTTCCTCTGTGGAGCAGCACCAGGGGAGAAGAGAGGGAGGGAGGAGAGAGAATGAATGAGTGGAGGGCATGTGGGAGAGGGGCAGAGGGAGGGACAGGTAGGTGTACAGGGGAGATGGAGGAAGTTACACGGCACCCTCTTGTTCCTTCTTGGCTGGCTCCTGCACACATACCCCCATGGCCACATATGTCATATGGCATTGAAGTCATGTCACATACCTGGTTCAGGGGCTAAGGAGGGCCACGGAACAAGAGGCAAAACCGCGGGTCAGAGGTCAGAGAAGGGATCCAGGTTAAAAGGACACAGCCGGTCACCGAGGGGTGGGATACGTGCAGGAAGCGAGCAAGATACTGTTAGAGTTAGCAGTGGTCCTGCCACCCTTGGCCCCACACCCCAGATTCTGGGACCCACTCGGAATGTGGGAATAGGAGGGGCAAACCGAACTCACCCCCAATCTGTCCTTCCTCACAAGTAGGGAAACTGAGATGAGGGTTGGGAATCTGGCTCTTGCTTTTGGGGCAGTGTCTCGTTTGGTTTCTTCCCTCATCTACCCACCCCCTGTCTGCCCTCAGCCAGGGTCAGTCTAGAGCTGCAGCCCACTTGGAGGCTCTAGTACCCAAGGGGAGCAGAACCAAGGCCTGCTCCAAACACCTCTTTTCTTGCCATCCCAGAGCTAGGTACAAAAGCCCAATTCCTTGGGCCTCTCTGTCTGATAGCCCCTAAGGAGGGCTGGGGGGTTGGGACTGTGATCGGGTTGGTGGGGGACACAGGCTAGGGGAACTGACTAAGGAGGAGGCCTTGGCCTGTCTTCACATCAGGCCCTATAGCAGGGCCTCTGGCTACTCTTGCATCTCTTCCTAAGATCTGAGCTCTTCCGACGTTTGGCTTAGTGAATCTGGCCTAGCAAAGGTCTTAGTCACCACTGTGGGCTTTCACTGACTTCTCTGGGAAAAGGAACTCAGTCTATACATGGCTCTATAGTCCCCCCACCCCCCACTCCTGTACTAGGCTGCCTTCTCTAGCATTGAAAGCATCTGACAGAGATTGGAGCACTTATGTTGTTTGTGGGGATTTTTGGAGTACTCATTCTCTTTGGTCAAGCATTGGCTGTGGTTAGTAGGTTATGTGGGGCCACATGGGGGGCTCCTTGGTTGGCTGGTGCCTCCTTGCTTCCCTGCCCTCTTCCCCACACCACATGGCTCCAGCCAGACCCTAGGCTCCACATGGGGACCAGAAGTCCTGTACCCTCATACCTTCCTCCTGGACTTCTGCAGCCGAGGAATGCCAGGGAGTGCAGGGTGTCAGGGAGGAGAGAGGATAGGATTAGAAAGGAGCACACAGCAGGCCCTTAGAAACAGGGGCTGAGGTCACAGCCCTATAAGATGGAAGGTTACACCAATTTCATCACTGGGGCAGAGGACAAGGGCAAATGGGGGTCAAGTCCTAAGCCAACTCACCTTCTTCCTGGGCTTCCTCTGAGGGTAAGTGAAGGTGACAAAGAGATGGCATGTAAGAGAGAGAACAGACAAGGACATTAGGAACGGGGCCTTTCCTGGGCTCTCTTGGACCAAACATGATGAGCAGGCCAGATTCCCATGCTTGGCCTACAGCAGCTAGCCAGAGTGAGCAGGGGCCCTGGAGCATCAGCCACTGCTATTCCTGCCAGTACACTAAGCTTCTACCTTCCTCAGGCCTGGCCCTCTGCACCCTATATCCCATGTCTGGGTGTTTGTGATTCTGCTCTACAGGACGCTGAAGGGCGGACCAGGACAAAGCCCACATGGTTTAGGGAAACTCCCTGTGCTCAGAGCATTTCTCAACCAGGGAATCCCATCTAGCTGTCAGAGCTAAAGGTTGGCGTCAAGGTGCTTTGGGGACACAGGACCCTTCGGGCCAACCCTAAGAAAGTGCAGCCCCCTAGGGCCACATCTCATTCAGAAACCAGCCCTTTCTGCTCCTGGCAGCAAGATATTTGCTCAGGTTGTTAAGGTAGCAGGTATTTTTCAAAATATTTTGAAAACACAGCACCCAGCAGCCCTTGCAGGATGGCCTGTCTGATGAGCTGTGTGAAGCCTCCCTCAGCTGAGCAAATGCCAGGAGCAGACAGCTTGTC